TTTGTTTAACGTTAGCTGTTGGCTTGTTGTATATTGCTTTTATTGTAGTTAGGAATGACCCTTGTATCCCTAATCTCTCCAAGACCTGTTTCATAAAGGGGTGTTGAATTTTGTCAAATGATTTTTCAATATCTAACGAAAAGATCATATGTTTTTTTCCTTCAGTTTATTTATATGATGGATTTCGTTGATAGATTTTCATATGTTGAACCAGCCCTGCCTCTCAGGAATGAAGCCTACTTAATCATAATGTATGATTTTTTGCATGTGTTCTTGAATTCTGTTTGCCAGTATTTTATTGAGAATTTTTGCATCAATGTTCATGAGTGAGATTAGTCTGTAATTCTCTTTCTTGGTTAAGTCTTTGTGTGCTTTTGGTATCAGGGTGACTGTAGCTTCATGAAAGGAGTTTGGCAATGACTCATCTGTTTCTATTTTGTGAAACACATTAAGGAGTATAGGTATTAACTCTTCTTGGAAGTTCTGATAGAATTCTGCATTGAAACCATCTGGTCCAGGGCTTTTTTTTTTGTTTGGCAGGTTTCTGATAACACCTTCTATTTCCTTATGACTTACATGTCTATTTAAACTGCTCACCTGGTCTTGACTTAATTTTGGTATATGGTATTTATCTAAGAAATTGTCAATTTCTTTCACATTTTCAAATTTTCTGGCATACAGGCTTTTGTAGTAAGATCTAATGATTCTCTGAATTTCCTCTGGGTCTGTGGTTATGTCCCCCTTTTTATTTTTGATCTTCTTAATTTGTGTGTTCTCTCTCTCTGGCATTTGAATAATTTGCATAGGGGTTTGTCAATCTTGTTGATTTTCTCCAGGAACCAGTTTTTTGTTTTATTGATTCTTTGGATTGTTTTCTGTGTTACAATTTTTGGTGCTTTTCCTTTCAGCCCTAAGTTTGATTATTTCCAGTCTTTTACTCCTCCTGGATGAGTCTGCTTCTTTTTTTCTAGAGCTTTCAGGTGTGCTATTAAGTCTCTAATGTGTGCTTTCTCCATTTTCTTTATGTGTGCACTAAATGCTATGAACTTTCCTCTTATCACTGCTTTCATAGTGTCCCATGGATTTGTGCATTTTGTGTCTTTATTTTCTTTGAATTCAAGGAAGAATTTAATTTCTCTTCTTATTTCTCCCTTGACCCAGGGATGGTTCAGTAGTTGATTCTTCAGTTTCCATGAGTTTGTTGACTTTCTGGGGTTAGAATTGTTGTTGAATTCTAACTTTATTCCTTGATGATCCAATAGTACACAGGTGATTACTACAATTTCTATATATTTATGGATGTTTACTTTGTTACCAATTATGTGATCAATTTTTGAGAAGGTTCCATGAGATGCTGAGAAGAAGGTATATTTTTTTCTGTTTGGGTAGAATGTTCTATAGATGTCTGTTAGGTCCATTTGGTTCATTACATCCATTAGTTCTTTTATTTCTCTGTTAAGTTTCTGTCTGATTGACCTGTCCATTGGTGAGAGAGGAGTATTGAAATCACCAACTATAAGAGTGTGGGGTTTGATGTGTGCTCTGAGTTCTAATAATGTTTCTTTTGCATATGTGGGTGCTTTTATATTAGGGGCATAGATATTCAGGATTTAAACTTCCACCTGATGAATTGTTCCTGATATGAGTATAAATTGTCCATCTCCATCTCTTCTGATTGATTTTAGTTTGAAATCAATTTTGTTAGGTATTAGTATAGCCACACATTCTTGTTTCTTTGGTCCATTTGATTGGAAAACTTTTCCCAACTCTTTACTCTGAGGTAGTGTCTGTCTTTGTGTTTGAGGTTTGTTTCTTGTAGGCAGCAGAATGTTGGATCCTGATTTCATATCCATTCTCTTAACCTGTGACTTTTAATAGGTGAGTTGAGTTCATTGATATTAAGCAATATTAATGACCAGTTAACTCTGGTTATTTTTCCTGGTGGTAGTGTTTGTGTGTTTCCCTTCTTTGAGTTGTGCTGGTGGAGGGTTGTCAGATGCTTGTGTTATTATGGGTGTTGTAGGGTTCCTTGGTTTGTGATTTTCCTTCTAGTATTTTCTGTAAGGCTGGCTTTGTGGCTACATATTGTTTAAATATATTTTTGTCCTGGAATATCTTGTTTTCTCCATCGATGGTGAATGCAAGCTTTTCTGGGTATAGTAGTCTGGACTTGCATCCTTGGTCTCTTTGTTTCTGCAGCACATTTATCCAGGACATTCTGGCTTTCATGGTTTCCATTGAGAAGTCAGGTGTAATTCTGATAGGTTTCCCTTTGTATGTTACTTGACCTTTTTCCCTTGAAGGTCTTAATATTTGTTTTTTATTCTGTCTTTTTTGTGTTTTGATTATTATATGGCAAGGAGATGTTCTTTTTCATCTAGTCTATTTGGTGTTCTATATGTTTCTTGTACCTTCATAGGAATATCCTTCTTTAGGTTGGGAACGTTTTCTTCTATTATCTTGTTGAATACATTTTCTGGGCCTTTGAGCTGTAAATCTTCTGCTTCTTTTACTTCTGTTATTCTTAGGTTTGGTCTTTTCACAGTGTCCCAGATTTCCTGTAAGTTTTATGTTAAGAATTTGTTGGATTTGTTTTGTTCTTTAATCAGTGAGTTTACTTTCTCTATAGTATCTTCAGTGTCTGAGATTCTTTCTTCTATCTCTTGTATTCTGTTGGTAATACCTGTCTCTGCAGTTCCTGTTCGTTTACCCAAATTTTCCATATCTAGCCTTCCCTCGGTTTGTGTTTTCTTCATTACTTCCATTTCATTTTTCAAGTCTTGAGCTGTTTCCCTTACCAGTTTGATTGCTTTTCCTTGTTTTTCTTGGGTATCTTTGAGAGATTTATTCATTTCATCTACCTTTTTGTTTGTTATTTCCATTTCTTTACGGCAGTTTTTCACCTCCTGTTTAAGTTTCTCTATCATTTTCATATAGTTCCGTTTAAAGTTGATTTCTTCTATTTCTCCTGGAGTAGGGTGTTCAATTCTTCTTGTTGTGTGATCCCTGGATTCTGGTGATGCCATGCTACCTTTCAGGTTGTTGGAAGAATTCTTTCATTGGAGCCTGCCCATCTCTTCCTTCAAATGGGGCAAGGAGAGTCTTGGTGTCTTGGTCCAGTCTTTTCTGTGATTGACTTTTGGTGGATCTCCTCAGTTCAGGCACAGGAACTGTTCCCTGGTCAGCCTGTCTGAAAGGTTGTCCTCAGCATAGGGACAGGACTCTTGGAGGTCTATGGACCCACAACAAAAGGGAGAACTCAAGGGGGAGGGGAGATTTGTGCAGAGCCAAGAAATCCCTGCAGCTGGAGCTGGAGGTGCCGTGAACTCCTCTCTGGCCGAGCGGGTGCGCACTCACCCCTCTGTGTGGGTAGCCTCTTCCTGGGCCAAGGACCTCGCAGACAATAGTGCATGCTTGGGGGGTGGGCAGTGGGCAGGGAATTGTGGAACACAGAAGCCCCTGAAGCAGGAGCTGAAGGGGCCCAGTGCTCCTTTCCCAGATGTTCTGCCCTGTCCCGGGATGGCACCCACTCACTAGTATGAAATGTTGTCCTCAGGACAAGGATAGGGCTCCTGGAGGTCAAAGGACCCTGCATCAAAAGGGCGAACTCGGTGGGGGGGAAGTTTTGCAGAGCCAAGAAGCCCCTGCAGCAGGAGCTGGAGGTGCCATGCACTCCCCTCCAGCTGAGCAGGTGCGCACTCACCTCTTTGGGTGGGTATCCTCAGTGAAGGAGCAGGACATATTCCTGGGCCAAAGACTCCACAGACAATAAGGCAGGGGTGAGGGGTGGACAGGGAAGTGTCAGTGTTTAATTTCTTGAGAATATATATATATATTTCTCAATTGAGAATAATATATATTATTATTATTATATTAATTATATATTATATATTAATTATATATTATATATGTTAATATATTATTCTCAATTGAGAAATATATATATATATATATATATATATATATATATATATATATATATATTGGAAATCAGTCCTTTGTCTGTTGGCTGATGAACATATTAATAGTGTAGATGTTTACAAGGCAGACAAGGATGGCCTGGACCCTCAACCAAAAGCTCACACTAAACAGAGTTTTTAGATAGAAGGTAACAAATTGAAACAGTCCAACAGTCCTCATGTTGTCTTGGTAACACTGTTATATACACCAACTTTGGGAGGATGTTATTAAAATTATAAAAACATTAGAATAAATATGGTTTTAGGTCGGCTGGGGCTAATTCATTTTCTCACAGATACTTTGCCTACAATTAAGAGAATCTGCTTATTTGGTAATGGGGTGGCTTCTGACATCAATATCCTCTAATCATTTCTTTAAAAAAATGACCGCAGGAATTAAAGGCAAGGGAGCCACCATGTTGTACACACACCTCTCTAGACAGCGTGCTGTGGATCAGTGCTGTGTCACAGGGTGCTATGTCTGCAGAAAGACAGATTGTCAGTCTTGGAGGAATGGTTGGGCAGTGTGTCTGCAGATCATAGGATGGTCGCCTGTGTCTCTGGATGATTCCTTTGATCTAGACTAGACTTTTATCATACTGTTATCCATGCATGTATCCACATAGAAATGCTGCTTCTATATGTAATGGTGTATAGAATTCTGAAAAACTGCATAACTTCTGGTTATGATTGGTTTAATAAGATATCATTCATTTCATTCTCCAGCATCAACTTCTCTCATTGAGATGAGATTTAGTGTGAACTTGCTGTATGCTGCAGATGGTTCTGGGCACTGCCTGCTGATTCTGAACCATCGCTGTCCTGTTGGCACGCACCTTTTAGCAGTGTTTGGATTTTATACATATATTTTCCTGTGTATTTTCTGAGCTATGGGTTTATTTTTCCATTACACTGACAAGCCAAAATGAATGTTGACTAACACTTAATTAAACTGTGTAGTTCCTGAAAAAAACAAAACAAAAAACAAAACAAAACAAAAAAGTAGTGATGTTAAAAGTAGGTAAGAATGTAATAGGAATAATGTCAAAAGGTGGAAGTAAGTTGCAGGTATGTTAGTTGTTTTTTTTTTAAAGACAACATCATGGAATATGTTGATCAATGCCTACACACTCCTATTTAAGCCATTAAAAAGGATAGTCAAAGAACCTACAAGCTGATTAGGGGAAAAGAAGATAGAAGGTCTGTAGAAAGAGCAGCAGGCTGTGTTCCTGCTTGATTCCCGCATGGCTAGCTTTAAACCCAGAAATAACATCACACAAACTGTTTTCATTTAAACACTGCCTGGCCCATTAGTTTCAGACTCTTATTGGCTAATTCTCACATCTTGTTTTAACCCATATTTAGTATCTGTGTAGCACCACGAGGTAGTGGCTTACCAGGAAAGATCCTAACCTGCGTCTGTCTCGAAGAGAAGAGTCATGGTGACTGCCTCACTACCTTCTTCCTCCCAGTATTCTGTTCTGTCTACTTGGCCTACCTAATTTTCTGTCCTATCAAAGGACCAAGGCAGTTTCTTTATTAACCAATGAAAGTAACATATAGACAGATGACCCTCCTCCATCAAAGGTCAATAAAGAACATAAAGACAGCTATGACATAGGGAGATGAGATCATTGCTGTGAACCAATAATGAAGCTTCAACAGTTCAGCAATGGACTAGCCATAATCAGCCTCAGGAGGGTGTGGTAATGGATAACTGCAAGGGATACAAAGAGGGTCTTAACAGAACTGATGATAGGCCTAGTCTTCTGATACAGGAAGAGGGAAGAGGCTACTGTGAATCTCAAAAGACTCACCGTTGAAGTGGGTGATTTTAAGGATTTTAGTTTGAATGTTCGGGGGGAGAGTTTGTTTACTTGTTTTATTTCTGAGTGTTTATTTGCTGTTTTGAGACAGGGTCTCACTATGTAGCTCTAGCTGTGTTGGAACTCACTTTGTAGATCATGCTGGCCTCAAACTCAGAGATCCACCTGCCTCTGTCTCCTGGGTGATGAAATTAAATGTGTGTACCACCATACCTGGCTTCAGTGTGAATCTTTATATGTGCACTAAGCCTTCATTTATACCCTGCCTTCTGAGAAGTTTGGTGTAGTCTAAAGCCTTGCCCATTGCCATAGAACACACTCATCCCTGCCTGATTTCTATAGCACCTCTCTGCTTGCATTAATCCGTTATCTAACTGGGCAAAGCAGAGCACTAAGGAGACACAGTAGTTACTGCATTTCCCATTGCTCTTTAGATGTCCTTTTACACCTCGAGTCACATTTAGACCTACTTTACCCCACTTATTGTCTTCTGTTAAAATGTCTGTCCTTTCCTGCTACCATCTCACACCAATTACTTTCAGAAAATTGTGTTTAAAATGCCAAGTAATGCTTGTCCTTCTGTGACAGATCACAGGGACTTGCCTCTCCCCCGAGCCATGGGATATTAAGCCCCATTTTTCACTGTTCAATAATTTTGAGTGTTGTTAAATGCTGGATCTCTTAGTGCTATTCCTTATCTCTACCGTCAACCTCCTTTGAATGTTTTCTGTATGTGATTCACACTCCTAAGACCAGACTTTGTCACAGGCCATCTATCTGCTTGTGCCTGTCAGCCTTATGTGGTTTCTGTTCAGAAGCCTACCAAAATGCCTTGGTTGTACCCTGGTGTCTTGGAACAGTACACAGATGCCTTGAACAGACTGCAATTCAAACATATGAATCCTAGCTCCAGTTCCAGCTTTACCTGCCAGGGTGTTTTCAAATAGCTTTAAGAAGTTTTTGTCTTGGTTTGCATTTTGGCATTGCAGCTCTGGATTCTGCAGCTCAGAAGGTTCTATAGCCGTGTCACCGAAGACAGAGGGCAACACTTGCCCTGGTGGCCCAGCGCAATGGCTGCCATTGATGCAGTTCACAACATTCCATTAGCATAGAGGGTGGTTGATGGGGAATCTCAGCCAATCACATTCTGCTTAAGGTGTGTCCCCCTGGGGCCACACAAAACAAATAAAAGATCTAAGTGCCTTGCCACTTCCTCTTTTTGTTCCCTGCTCACCTGGTGTTCTTGGGATCTCTGGTCATGTAAGTTTTCCTCCTTTTCCCAATTATTAAAAGCTAAATCTTTTTGTATTGAGTTGGCCTTGATAATTATCAATCGACCACACCCCTTCAGGTGGTGAAGTCACTTATGCAAAAACATTTGCTGCACCCCCATTCCTGCTGTATGAGCTGGCAGCTTGCTTCTCTTTCTGGGTCAGCTTGCCCTCTGCTGTTGTAATGTAAGGTCCGTTAGAAGAATATCCCTTGTGGTCTGTTCTTGCCAGTTTGGGATCTGGGGTTTTGCTTTTCTTATTACACTCTTGACTAAGCTGGTAGCCTGAAGAGGAGATGGCACCCGAGACAGCAGCTCATAGAGCAGTGTCTGCTGTACCTGCAGAGGAAGCAGCCCTTGTTGTAGCACCAGTGACAGCAAGGGGCAGTGGAAGAGTTCTTGGGCCAAACAGGCTGAGGCAGAAACGATGGGGAGCTGGAGGAGAGGATGCAAGAAGGAACAACAGAAAAGCATAGGAGGCAGAGCACTGATGCTGAAGAAAGACAGAAGGTTGTGAGGATCCAGGGGTGGAAAAGGGTGGGATCTACCTCCCTGGAAGTGTTTGAGGAGTCTGGAAGGTCCAAAGGTCTTGGCATTCTAGGTCTTGCACCTGTGACAAGAGCCCCTGTCAAGGGCCAAGGGTTCCAACAGCGTAGATCCTAGAGCCTGGTTGTTAGGCTCAATGACCTGAGCATTCCAAGGAAGAAATGTAAAACTTGGGAGTGCTCCCCACTTCTGCCCCACTCTGATGCTGGAAATTAGGGATTGTAAAGGCTCAAATGTCCCACAGACACTGGGCATTAAATCCCAGAGGAATAACTCTCCAGCAAAAGTGTTGGCAGCCAAGAGTCTCTGGATTATTAAGCATTAAAGAGAATTTAGGACTATTATTCTGTTTAATGGAAACTGTATTATAGTTCCCTCTAACATTTTTTTATATCTATACATTAGTTCTTCTCTCAACAGTCACAAGAAAGCTGCCTTTTGAAGTAGATGGCAATTAACACCAGAACCTCTAATGGTCAATATGAAGAAAATAAGAGATTTGGAGGCCCCCGAGCCTGCAGAACGAATCATATACAACATGAATCTGTCCATTCCAAGTCTCATTCCATCAGGGAAGAAGGGAAGAAACAATTGTGAAAGTCAGGAGTGGTGGATGTTTGTCAGAAAATTCCATTTGCGGGTTATGACAGAACTGTTGCCCACATGAATTCCATGGCAGAGGTGCCCACATGCACAGCACATATACAAGATCAAGCCAGGAAAAAGCTTAGGATGGATTACTAGGCAGTTCATGAATTTACAAGCCTAGCTGAGGAGCTCTTAGCAAGTGATGGTTTTGGGGGAATAACCTAGTTTTATAAGGAATTTGGCTCCTGAGACGTGATCCATGTACCAATATTCTTAAAGCCATGCACACACAGGCACCATTACATGGTCTTAGTAGAATGTTCAAAAGTACATGTAGTTGGGAGGGAAATATGGTAGGAACGGAAAAGCAGAAATTTTATGATTGGATTGTTCAGAGCAAATTCTATACACGTATGAATTTATTGAATGTTAAAAGTGCCTAAAGGCCATTGACACTGAGCCTAATGATGTGTTTTCAATGAGATTCCATCTGGAATCAGGAATGAAGAAGCTACAATGAGTTGTCTTCCAGCCACCACACACAGGTCATACCATGTATCTCTGCACACAGACACATACAGAGATATAAATAACTGTAATTTCAAATTTTTAAAAATATATAAAAAATACACTAATTTAGGAATATATTCTTGTGTTTGTGGACATGATTATTTCACAGGAAAGTTTATGCTTGGAGATTTTACAGACTGCAAAATTCTTTCATTTTCGACATGTGGCAAAAACTATGTAAAATGGGTCTGCTTTGCAAAATACGTGAGGAAAAACACACAGAGGCTAAGTATTTTTCTTTTTACAAAATAAAATCGTATACGAATCTCCTGAATAATTTTATCCATGTAGCATCTGTATCATGGTGATATTATTTGATTTAGAAATGCAATATTTCATTTTTTTCACTTTCATATGTATTTCTCCGTTAAATAAAATCTTCACATTAAATATCAAGTGCAACATCTTGGGCATTGCCCTGATGCAGTTAATTTTCCACTTTAACTTATTCTAAGGAGAAAAATCAGGAAACATTTGCAAGCGTCACTGGCAATAGATCCAGCCAGTTCTGTGTGTTAACACTGCTTTGTCTGGGCATACCCTCTGCTTGCTAGATGCAGCTTCATTTTTGTAGGCAGTATGATTGAAAAAATTTTAAACAAAGTATGATATCTGACTATGAAGAATTCTCTCAGACAATAAAGTAACATTAAAAACTAGGAAAAAATAAGTGAACTCAGACATATATATGTCTAAAATCCTACCAACCATCCTTAATATAGTAACTGATAAAGAATATCTCTATAATAGCATATAAAGAAAATTCAAGAATAATACTGCCAAATATCACAAACTAATTATTTGTGGAAAGAGGGCATGGGGGAAAATACAAGGAAATGAAGCATGAAAACACTTCTAGACAGTTTCAGGGGAGTCATCAGTCACAGTGTCATGGTGACAGTCAAGTCAACTAGCTACAACGACATCACACTTGTTGGTATAGCAACATGAATGATCTGACAGTACACAGGACGTGTCTGTTCCTAGCCACAGGCAGAAAGGACACAAGAGTAAATAGGCAAAGAAGGCTCACGTACCTTGAGTTGCCCTATGGCTGGGCTTAAAATCATCTAACTTGGAGCAGTTATTTCAGAGGATGAAGAAAATGAGCCTGGACAGGTAGAGTTCTAATGTTTGAACATAAAAACTTTATGTTTTTGGTCCCAAGAAGTGACTCAAATTAAGATTCTGATGTAGGGAACTTGAACTTGGGCTTTGGGCACACCTAGGATTCCTAGGATTCCTGTTTGACATGTTTGCTCCACTGCCTAGTGCCATCTACCTGCAGACTCTGAATCCATCAGAGCAGCTCTGACTGTTCTAATCCTAGACAAGGCCGCAGATTTGGGTATTGTCACAGGGCTGAAAGTTAAGCACCCAAAGATCAATCCTGAATGACGACAGGTTTTCCTCTCCCTCTGAAAACTGTTTTCAGGAAAAGAGAAGAGATGACAACGAAGAGGACAACCACGATGACCCTCATTCAAAGAGGAATAAGAAGGACCAGGCCTTCCAGGACCCTCGCGCTATAGAGGTAGGAGCGATGGCCACCCAGCTTCTCCTTTTGACTCATTGCTCACTCTGTGGCATTCATTTCCATCTCCACAATGGTAAGAGAACCCTCTCAGACACACTCATGAAAGTCTTCTCCTTGGATGCAATGGTTTTGAGGCAGAGCAGAATTTTAAGTATTGTAATAAGCATAGCTTTACTGTGCAGAAAGACAGAGAAAGGACGAACAGAGATGCTTTCCGAAGCCCAGCCATGAGGAATGGGGTTCCAGAAATTCCCTCATCTTGCAAATAGAGAGGGAGAATCGAACCCCTCCTTCTATGGTTAGGAAAGACATAAACTTGAAGAAGAGAGTGGTGGGCTACTAACTGCAATGCTCCTTTTGCTTTCTCCCTGAAAAATACAAAAAGCAAAGTGGGGTTGTGTGAAGAGACATGGGAAAGCTTTCAGGATGTTTGTGCCAAAGAGTTTGTGTTTCAACTTCCACAGTCTTAACTTTAATAACCAGTAAGGGGTAACACAGCATGGTTTGAACAGAAGCATATGTGAGGAGGGAGCATTGTAAAGTTTTTCTGGGCAGCTCTCATCAGGTAATGAATAAGTATGGCTGACTTTTACCTTTCTCAGGCAAGAGATGAAAGACTTGTCAATGTGTGCCATTCCTCTGGGACAGACACAGGTAGGTTTTGGATAAAATGTACCAAGATCTACCCGAGTCAAGCAAGTAGAGTTCTTGACCCATTGAAGTTTCTGCTGCATATGATCACCTAAATGTGAACGCTGCCTTTGCTCCCAGGGTCAGAGGATATGTGAAGGGTTTTGGAGGGAGAAAACCTGTGTTTGAACCCTCTCCATAACATTACTAAAGACTCACCTTTGGGTTTGTAAAACATCTCTTTCCTGTTCTGTCAAATGGGTGCCATTAACCCCAGTTTGAGCTAGAGCGCTGCCGTAGGAAGGGAAGGAGCTCCCCAAGTGTTTGCACTTCATAGATTGTGGAGCCTTTTGTGGAGTGTGATGCTTCAGTATTCGTCAAGCTGAACAGGAAATGATGACAGTATCATAATAGCCATCCTCCTTCTGTCTTTCTCCTTCCAGTTGTCAAACAGTGATAATGAAAGAAACCACAGCAGCATCAATAACCCAGTACGAGGAAGTGTACCAGAAAGCACCTTAAACCAAAACATTGCTGAACATTACTCCAATATCCCCAATTCTAACATGAGGCTTATGCACTGTGCCAAGGCTAAGGTCCTCACTCCAACATTAACAAGATCTTGAACAATGCCCATTCCTACAGCCTTCAGCAGAGAAGACAATCACCAATGTAATGACCTGGGCGCTTCTCCTCCCTTCTTTACAAAAAGCAATGACATTCACACAAAGCAGTCTTGGCTTTTGTCTGTATTTTCAGTAAGTGTCAATGGGCATTTGTACTCTTTTGCTGTTTTCTCCACCACTGCGATTTCAGAGGGTCTTTTGTGACAGTGTGATATGTTTTCTGTCAAGTCTGGTGTCCAATTCATGTTCAAATAGCAGCATGAGGATTTCTCCTGATACTGAATGGCTTGTTTGTCCCTTTCAGGTTGGGTTCCAAGTCACTCATTTAGGGTCTCCATGTTAAATGTCCCTTTACAATGTGATCCCTCCTTCTGAGAAGCTAAGTGACCCATAAAGGAATGTGTACTTTCCCTTAAAACATGAAAGAACAAACAACAGCAGCGAATAAGCCAACACCAAAGCAGCAATGAGCATTGATTGGAGGGAGAATGGGGCTTGTTCTTGTTCTGAAATGAATGGCAGGGCAGCTCCTCAGAAGGGAGATTTTCTACATATAATGGCGCAAATGTCAGCCTCTGCAGTTGTGAATGTGAAGCCTGGGTCTGTCAATTGCACTCCACATTCCAAGTGAGAAGGCTTCTTCTTTTAATGCTCTGTTGTGTGCCCATCAGATACTTTGTTAACAATTTCTTTGTAAGAGTGAGACAAACAATGAAAAATAAAAAGGAGAAGGAATCTTCAGTTTGAAACTGCATGCATGCAGCACAATTCAGGAGCACCTCAGGAGAGCAGTGCAGGGTGACATCTATGGCAGGCTGCCCATCTGGGTTTGAACCACTATCAGTCATACAGGCGAGATATCTTGGGGAAGGTGCTTTTCACTTTGCCTGACAATCTGGGTACCATCCCTCAGAGTCATGTGATGGAAAAAGAGAACAGACTCCAAGAAGTAGTTCTCTGTCCTCTTAAAAAGCTCTCTCATCTCACATTTGACCAGAGCAGACCCAAAATTTTATGTATACCAGGCTGGCCTAGAACGCAAGCAGGTCAGCTTGCTTCTGCCTCCTGTTTGCTAGCATGGATTTCTTGTGCCATCATGTATGGCTTTTCTTAAACATTTGTTAACAATCTTAAACAATTGTTTGTAAAGCCAGGCTCTTCCTATGTGACCTAGCCTGAACTGGAATGACTGTGTACCTCCTGCTGGACCCTAACTCCTGCAAACCTGCCTCCTCCAAGAGTCTGAATCTCTTGTCCTGGTAATAACATTGTGCCATCCCCGTACTGTCTTTTGCAAGTTATTTAGCAGTTTATCACCAGCCTATGTCCTAACAGCTCCCAAGTATTTATTGAAATGGTATAAGCCTGACCTCCATAACAGTCCCTCTGGTAATATAAAGTATTTTCCAAGACTGGTGATGGAGAGAAGCGACCCTTTTCTACTGGAGTCTAGAACCTACAGAAAGGAAAGATTGTTTAGCCAGGGACGATAAGGGGCTAGTGTTCAGAGAGTAAGGACCTAACTTCGGAACAACCCAGTATGGGCTCCAACCCCAGTGTGGCCTTCCCAGCACCCATGGAGGCAGAAGTAGGTTGAGGCTGCAAGTCACAGGCAGGGAGGGAAACTTGCTGCCAAGTCATCCACCTGTGCAATCAGATCCTGAAGTATGTGACAGGAGTCCTTGAGCAGCGTAAGACACACAACTGGAGAGAAAACACCAGCGTTGAAAATCAGGTCTCTTCAACTTAGTAAAAGTTCCCTTTGCACTAATGCAAGTTGGCTACTTTTGGGAAAGATTGGTTGATTCTAGAAACTTCTGGTGCTCTCCACTCATTGCATTGTGCAACTAAACAGTATTTAATCCTGCTGATTCCATGATGACCATATTCAGTGTACCTGAGACCAAGGAATAGTATCTCTCATTCTTCCTCCCTTCTACCTGTCTGCTTCTCTGTTTCCTCCTCACCCTCTGTGCTCTCTCTCTTGGGCTTTACTCTCTCCATCTCCACATTAAGAGCTTTGACCTGAAACCCACATTGTCCTGATAGTTTTTCATTTGTGACTACTGCTTGATGTCTGGATCCTTTCATTGTCTCTAGCCACGATGACCTTGGGTATTCATGACCACAGACCAGATAGATATTTTGACTAAAGTTAAAGCAGAATGAGTTTGAGGGAAAGACTCTTGGGAAACGCTGGTGCAGGGCCTCAGTGGCCTCACCCTCAGCCTGGGAGCCAACAGACCCAGCCCCCTGCCAGAGGGGACTGGGGGGCAGCTGGAGCCAGAGCAGATGCTCCCAGTGGACAGGCAACAGGAAAGCATGAGGATGTTCCAGAGGATGCTCAAGTAGAGGATGGAAGAAGGCTGAGGAGCTGGCTCCCAGAAGATGGAGGTGAAAACTGATGCACATAGTGTGGACGGCCACCTCAGGGGCCGGACTCTTCTGAGGTCTAGGCAATCATCTGCTTTGCATGAGTCCAAACACTTGTGTTATTACCAAAATTTGTCCTAGGAAAGGCTTCAGCTTTCCTCCTTATATCTTTTAGCATGCCTTTTGGGGTGTGGTGGTGTGTGCTAGCCTACACAAAAGAAAAGTGGGAACCAGAGATCCCTGAACCCTCATGTTGTGATTCATACACAAAGAGTGTTCACTCATTTCCCTGGGAATACAATGCCCCCCGCTTTGCTGTTAAAAAAACCAACATGTGTGTGTATATATCTCTCTCTATATGTACATATGTATATATAAGACAGATATATATCTCCTTAATGCCTTCTTGATGTCAGTTTATTGAGTGCCCCCACAAAAGGAATTACAGGAATGATAGGTATTATGAGGTCCATGCTCTGGATAGGAGAGATGCATTGACTTGCAGCATCCACAATTTGAAACAAGGGAATGCAAGCTGAAGCCAGCTACCTAATGCATTATATTAGGTAGAACATCCAGTGGTGTGAACCTACATAGAAGAAAAGAAGATTCCCTCTTAGCCATACCAAATGATGGATCACTGGAAGAATTTCCCATGTGTTCACTCAATTATATTTCTAGCAATGTTGATTTGGAATTGCCCACCTGTGTATCACACCCCCTCCCCACACACGTCTCTTCATCTGATTAATACAATAATTTAAGGACACCCAGGCAGGTCAGGAAAGGCATAGTTTCATGTAGACGATGAGGCAAAGAAACAAGAAGCTCAACTATGCATGCTGGGCTTGGCATAGACAGGCTCAGTAGTGGGTGTGGACTATACTGCAGGAGGGTCCAGGTGGAATTGTCATAGTGATAGACACTGATGATCAATATTGTTATCACCAGAATTTGGTGAAAATTGATGAATATGTGTGGGGACTGACTTCACGACTTTTCCAGTAATGTCACTATAAATATCCATGGCCTGTGTATGCCCATGTTATAGACTGGAAGCTGGGGAGGCCACTTTGCCCTCGAGTTTGCTGTTACTGGTCAAGATCCTGCAGTGGAAAGTTTCTATGTGTTTATTAGTTATTAGCTTATTATTGGGGATTTGTATACTCTGTTTCTTAGCTGCTAAAAGTCCCTGATGATCCAAGCAAACATCTGGGAGGGCAAAATGTATCCCTTGTTGAATTGACAGGAGGACCAGCCTTTCATCTGCCTATATGCCACACAAGTGTGGTGGGGTGAATGGGGCCTTATTCACATGAGAATGATGCTCATTTCTCCAGGTTGTTGCCTAGCAACCACTCTTCAGCAGTCAGTGTGTAGCTTTGGAATTGTAGAGGGAGCTTTAGAGGCCTGGATACACATCCCTACTAGCCATTATGGGATGCCTTGTAGTTTTGAGGGCAAAGGCAACCTGGCAGGGTTAAAATTGTTCCTGGCCATTAGGCCATGGGAGGCAGAGCCTGCTGTCTACTGGGAGAACAAGGGGAGCATCTGTGAGATGTGTCACTTGCTTTACTTTTGTTCTTCCTTCTCACATGCCCTGTGACCTTCAGTCCCTGGACAGGGCACCTGTAACTCTGTCTGATCAGAGGGATGTGTCAGGGTGTACAAATTATTTTCACTTGCCTGACATTGAACTGATTTGCTCCTTTCAAGTCTGTGATGTCCTGAGCTTGTACCAGACAGCATCAAATGCCCTGTTCCAAATGTGTAAACATGTTCTCTTCTATGACCACCTGCCCCCTGTTGTTAATGTGGACTGGGATGTCACCATGTGCTTTGAGAGGTGAAGAAACTGTGTAGTGGTCTCTATCCTAATCCAGGGGGCAACTTGTTTTTTCTGCACATTCTGAGTTTTATAACTGATCGTCTCAGTCCACCGACTGACTAGGTGATGACCCAAATTGTCGTTATAGTTCAGTTTGCCTGCTTTCTTTTCAATATTTCTCACTTTGGCAAAGCAATGGTCATGTTTTTCCTTTTCCACAGTGGATCTCCTGTAGTAGGTGCTGTGTTTTCTTCTGGTCACATCTTCCCCTCTGTGCTTCTTCATCTATCTGGAGGTCTTCCTGTTCTCCCTCTGCATTCAGCATCAGCACATGTTGTTCTTTAGAATACACAATTGTAAAGTTTCAAAGTTGGTGAGAGAGTAGGATGACGGTCATTGAACAATTTGCCCTAAGATCCACCTCCCTGGAGATTCCAGTGACTCAGTTCAACCAACTACAGTATGTGCTGTGACTCTCTTGGCATGCTGGGTACAGGACCTTTTCACAAGAGGGCCCAGGCTCAGCTGCCAGCCCCACTGCCCCATACCCTGTAAAAGTTGATGTCTTATCTGGATTACCACACTGTGTTCTTGGCCAAGGACTCTCAGAGTCATCTAAGTGGTCGCTGGAGTTGGCACCCATGCTCCTTGCTTTCACTAGAGGTGGTCTTCTGTGGGTACCAGCTAACTCCCTTTACCTTGCCCTCAGTTATTTGAGTCCTGCTGGTGCCATCACTTGACCATTCCTACTGACTGATCATCTTTACCTCCCTTCATACAATTATATGGGTGTGCTGGATAACTAAGCATCTGTGCATGTGTGTGACTGTGGGCCCTCATGCCTGTGTGTGTGGAGGTCCAAGGTTGACTCTGGGTGTGTTGCTCTATTGCTCTCCATCGTGTGTTTCGAGACAGTTCTCTTGTAGAATTCTAGAACTCACCAGTGTGGCTTGATCAGGTACATAGTCAGCCCTATGAATTTTCTTCTCTCTGTCTATCACCCCTAGAATTATGGGAGTGTTCTGTCAGGTCAGCATTTGAGTGAGGGTGGGGGAATCCTACCTCAGATCCTCTTGCCATGAACCAGACACTTTACCAGCGCCTTGTTCCACAGCCGAGTTTCATACTATTTTATTGAATTGCAATCTTCCTTCACATAATAATGGCCATTTTTGGAGTAATAATGCCCACAACCACAGTGTGCTCCCCTTGTCTGCCTCACCCACCCTGGTGGGCAGTTTCCTGAATGATCAGATTAAGATTTGTTACTTACACACACAGGGAATCATGCAGCATCTTCAGGAGCAATTTCCATCACATTAGCTGTGTGGTGCTGCTTCTCTCAAACCCTCAAGCATGTTTTTTTTTTTATTAACTTACAAAAACTTCCACTTCCGCCCCTCCTCCCAATACCCTACCACTCACCCCCAATCCCTCTCCTCCTCCCTCTCCAGTCCTA